GTATTATAAGTACAACGACCCTACATAAATAATGTATTTACATTTATATTATTGTACAAAGATATTATATTTTATAATAAACAGTGGTGACGGTTAAGTCAATTTTTAATTAATTATTTGGTTTAAATTGCCATGAATAATTACTTTTACTTTACCATTACTTTTTAATAAAATATTACAGGAAGCATTTCGCGAAAAAAAATTACTGATGATAGTAAACATAAATGCTGTACAATGTAACCATTTTTAATAAAAAAGAAATGGTTTTTATTCTGTTACAAACAGCGCAATTTATTTAATAAATACATAATCTGTAATTTTATAATATTTTAACAAGTAAGTTCATCCAAAAAGGGAACAGTTTTCAAATTTCCTATTGAAGCAATCGACAGCTTTGAACTGGCAACTTTTCTGGCGGCCTTAAAAAAAATTATGACAAATAAAGAAATTTTAAACAAAGGCAATTTAATAAAATTAAAATTTACCTGAATGACATCATTAGGAGATATTCCTGCAATAGCATTAGAAATGCCCACAGCATCCAAAGCATTATCTGAAAAAAGCGCTTGAATACCCAAATTCTCAACAATATTTGCTCCACTTTCCAAAGAAGACAACATACTCCTCATCAACTGAGCTTTACCTGTAAAATAACAAATTATAAATTAATTTTATAGTTGTGCTTGGCAAATTTAAAATTTTTTTTTACCGCGTTTAACATCTGCTTCTGTAATGTCAGTAGAAGAGAGTGCTTTTGCAACTAATGACACAGCAGTTCCTGCATTAGCAGCAGGCACACAGACAAGAACCCCAAATAGACCAGAATCGGAATAATTAGCATTAATAGCTTGTACTGAAGCAGAGGGCACGTTTGAGGTAACACATCTGGCTAAAACTGAGCAGCCTCCAGCGCCGTACGGAACACCCGGTTTGGTACCATACACGTGCTGCAATATGCCATATACTAGGGCTTCGTTACTAGGGATCAGACGTCCACCCTCCTTTCCCATTGCAATGTAAGTCAGATTACCACCCTTCTCCAACCTAAGGCCATCCAAGATATAAAAATAAAATATTAGGAAATATTATTCTGAAAATGAATTTCTTGAATTCTTTTTTGCCCACTACACACTTCCTCAAATTAATGAGGAAGTGTGTAGTGGGCAAAAAAGAATTCAAGAAATTCATTTTCAGAATAATATTTCATATTAAACTAACTCACTTCTAAAAGATGTCTAAAAAATTGTATGTATGTTTAATAAAATATTAGGTTTGGTAACAGTGATACTGGTGACTTACCTGGCTTCACCTGATGTATATGTAGATTTCATACAATTCTCATCACAGCTTTCTCTAATTTTCAATTTTTCAGCAAACTTGAGAACATCATTATGTTCAAATCCTACTGCTGCCACTGTCCCTTTACTAGCCACAAAGTGCTGGCAAAAGTAATGCTGAAGAGTTTCTGACGAAATCTTTCCTATTTTGGTTTTTCCAATGAATAGAGAATTACCTAAACCACGGTCACGATAAGCAGCTTTATGAAGCAGATCAAGTGCTCGAAGCTATTAAATTTTAGATAAGAAATTATGTATTTAGATCTTATTTTCAAGAATTACCTCATAAGGTCTGATTTTTAATTCAAGCTTAAGCCTGTCAGTGTTATCAGAAATTTCCCATGGTCTGAAAACTTGTTTGGTGGCAACTTCTGCGAAAAAAGGAGATGCTTCCTTGACAGCTTCTCTTGTTCCTTCCAATGTATAGGAAATAACCTCACGATCTGTTGAACATGTTAAACTTGCTCCAACTTGTTGAATGTGACGCATAATTGAGAACTGAGTGGCATTTTGGGTACTCAAACCAGCTGCAATACGCAAGACATGAGTAACTCCTAAAGTTTCATAATTCTCGAAACGTGAACCAGCTCTGAAGTAATAAAATATTTAGAATTATATATTACAATCATTAGCAATTTATTACTTCATAATACTTACTTGAATAAAATTGAAATGCGTGCAAGTGGGGAACAATTTTCAGTTGATACAACTTTTAAACCGTTTTGTAATTTTGAAATTTCGGCACAGTAATTAGGAACTCCACTTACTGGTATATGGTTAGCACCACTAGAAAAGCAACGTACCTGAAACACATGCAAAATAAGAAATTATTTGTTTACGTAATACCGACTATGACGATTATGTAAAAGACAAACTTACGGGCACAGCTCGTAAAACGGTTGCTTTACTTAGATTTGACGCCATAGCAATTACCAATTTGATATTTATTTAAAATAAATTGTTTAACGTTAGTTTAAAAGCAGCTTTATTTATTAATTATAAATATCAAATATGACAGCCAATAGACATGACCATAGATAGACATGACGTCTACCATACGTCTGCTTATGACATTTCATAAGACATTGTAACCATAGATCACTACTTCTGTTTTTTATTTCAGATGTTTTAGTTGCGTTCTGATTCATTTTATTATAAAGGAACTAAGGCGGGTACTACGTAAATGTTGAAATAACGGAAAAATATTAATGGAATTGTATAATACAAAAATAAGTTTTTTTTAAACTAATTAGCAGATTGTCTCTGCAAATTTATAGGTTTCCAAAAGTCTCTCTTCTGCAGACTACGTACAAACAAGTGAATACATCTAACGAACATATATTTCATCTTGTCTCTCTTTTACCTATAGTTTCAATGGTTTCACCATTCTCGTCTCGTGTAACCTTGTCTATGCGTGTAACGCTAATGCTTCTACGGTGTGACAAGTGTGTTGGTTTATTTTATTTTTTGTTTCCCTAGTGTTTGCGATCGGCCAGTACGCCATAATTAAACAAAAATTAGTGCAATGGAATAAAATACTCAATTTGACGCTTTAAATATCATATCGGATCGTGATAATAATTTAATGATTTCCAAATGAGTTCTAAATTAGACGTAAACAGGCGAGTATTGGCCATACAAGCGAAGAAGAAACGACACAAGCCAGGTAAAAAGAAAGGCAAAAATGACGAGCAGAACGGCCAAACTGTTGGAAACCGTAACAATAGTCGACTGGAACTATCTCACAGTTCAAGTAATGAAACTGTAGAAGATGCGTGTGAAGCGTATTCCAGTGAGGAGGAGGAACAAGAGGATAGTGCCGATTATCGAAAAGGAGGTTATCATCCTGTAAGAATTGGAGATCTGTTCTTGGGTCGGTATCATGTCACACGAAAACTTGGTTGGGGTCATTTTTCGACCGTTTGGTTATGTTGGGATTTGGAAGACAAACGCTTTGTGGCCCTTAAAGTTGTTAAATCTGCAGGACATTTTACAGAAACTGCCCTGGACGAAATTAAGATACTTAAAGCAGTGCGCGAATCTGATCCATCAGATCCAAAGCGAAATAAGACTGTACAATTGTTAAATGATTTTAAAATAAGTGGTGTCAACGGTGTTCATGTTTGCATGGTCTTTGAAGTCTTAGGTCACAACCTGCTTAAACTTATCATCAAATCAAATTATAGAGGCATTCCTTTAGCAAATGTGAGGACAATAATGAGGCAAGTACTTGAAGGTCTTGACTATCTGCACACCAAATGCAAGATCATTCACACAGACATCAAACCAGAAAACGTGCTGATATGTGTGAGTGAAGAATACATTCGAAAATTAGCATGTGAGGCTGCTGAAATGCATCAATTAGGTTTAAAACTCCCTACCTCACTTATCAGTACTGCACCACAACAAGAGATTCAACAGATAGGAAAAATGAGCAAGAACAAGAAAAAAAAGTTAAAGAAAAAGGCTAAAAGGCAGAATGAACTGCTTAAAAAACAGATGGAACAAATTGTTGAAATTGAAGAGCAAAAAAGGATCAAAGAAATCCAAAAAGTGAATGGTGATGTTGCTCCTGAAGAGAATGGAAACAGTTCAATACCTGAAAATGGAGAAGAAAAAAAAATACTTAATGGGTGTGTGGGTGATTTAGCTGGAGGAGAAGCTGTTGAGGGAAAAGAGTGTGAAATAAGTACAAATTCTCCTGTTGAAGGTGCAGGAGAAGTAATAACACCCATGTCAGAAGATGATTCCAACTCCTTGTCATCCAAACGAAGAAGCAAAGTCGAATCAGATCCTGCCTTTAAAGAATGTGACTTTGATGTTAAAATTGCTGATTTAGGTAATAATTTTGCTTCAAATTACCTTACCAAAATTTTGATCAGGCAGGTAACACATTCTAACATTTCAAACAAAAAAGACTAAACAATATCCTAATATCATCTCATTAAAAATGTCAAATGGGATTTTTGGAGATTTTCAGTGTAACTATTTAATTTTTGGGATGGGGGTTGTGGTCCTTAAAATTTTTAAATATAAAGTTCATTTACCTTTGTTTAATTTATTTCAATTTTATTTTTAATTTAGTCATTTGTGGCTTGTTTTAAAAAAAGCATGGGAGCTATTCTTGCCAGTCTGGACTAAAATAAAGATCCTGTTTTAATTAAATTTTGTTTGTGCCAGGAAATTTTCTTGTGAAAATGCATAAATTCTTAGTGGCTACTATCACTGAATTCAACTTTGGGACTTCTGCCAATTTTCTTATTTATGTATATTATTACCATAGTGGATGTATATTTAGTATTGTATGATTTTTATTAAAAAAAAAAGGACAAAGTTTACATATGGATAAAACTAGTTAACGATAAATTTAAAATACGGTCTTAATAAAGTATTTGGAAGTTTATAAAATTCCACTTTAAGTTCAGGATCTTTTTTATAATTTTAATTAGTCATTATGAGGTAATGTACACGTAATTAATTAATACTTCAAAAGATTTTCTGTACATTCCCCTGCAAATATACTCAAAGTTAATCATAAATGTATTTATTTAATAAATAGATTGATATTATTTTCTGTACTTTAGGAAACGCCTGCTGGGTAGACAAGCATTTCACCGAAGATATCCAGACTCGGCAATATCGTTCCCTGGAGGTTCTTCTCGGTGCAGGTTATAACACATCCGCAGACATTTGGAGTACCGCATGTATGGCCTTTGAATTGGCCACCGGTGATTATCTGTTCGAGCCCCATTCAGGCGCTGGATACTGTCGTGATGAGGACCATCTGGCTCATATAATAGAACTCCTGGGGGACATACCCCGTCGCATAATCGCCATGGGTAAACATTCGCGTCTCTTTTTCAATAAGCGAAACGAATTAAGGCACATAACCGGCCTGAAGCCGTGGGGTCTTGAGGCAGTGCTCATGGAGAAATACGAATGGAATCAGAAGGATGCCATCGAGTTTGCATCGTTCCTTAAACCGATGCTGGACTTTGATCTGGACAAGAGAGCCACTGCCGCGCAATGCCTCCAACACGCCTGGTTGAAAGGTGGAGAAGGAGGAGAAGAGACGGATTTAGGAGTAGAAGCGAGAGATGACGACGACGAAGATGAAGAAGACCCCGTAGACAACTAAACAACTAACTCCTATTTCGCTCTCTGTCTTTATTAATGATTATTATTATTAGTTTGTTCTTTAAAAAGGTCCTCCATCCATTCAAAAACAAAACTCTGCAAGTACTTTGGTCCGTTGATTGTTTCTATTCTCTTTTTAATGTTTTTATTTTTATCCAGCGGCCCCATTCCGTTCATAAATGCTATAATTATTATTAATATTATTATTATGGTTATTACTATTAAGCGACAGGTCGATTCGCCGGGAACGAAGTTAAAAGGCAACTTGTGAACATTAATTTTTTAAATTTCCGTACTGTTTTTCATTATTCAACATTTAAAGAAATGTTCCAAACTTGGTGAACGCCCTAAATAATTAATCGAAAAGAAATAGCATAACAAATGCAGATTAGGTTTCGAGTAAAACGTTAGTTTTTAGATTTTTTTTTTTTCGTTTTTACAGTTGATCGCCTTTTTTGAACGATTCCGAGAAAGACCCAGGACGTTTTATTTATTCTTCATGATATTCTTATTTTTTTATAAATGTATTTTTTGCAGCTAATATTTCCTTTAAATTCTGAGGAGTATCTGTCCTTATATTGTTTTTTTACAGTGTAATTGCTTTTATTAAAGTTCCTTTTATTATTATTATTATCATTAAATTCAAAGTTAAATATCTCATTTTTTTTTAATTAACCCCCTGTACGCAGTGCTACAGGGTGTTTAAATTGATGCTGGAGGATGGAACATTAATAACTTTTTTTTTTTCAAGAGTCAATTTAATATCGTTTTCGGCGACTTGTCTTGCCCCCCCCCCTCGCCGTCTGTTGTATATAAATTTAAGGAATAGAAAATTGTGATGTAGGTGTTGTATAGCCAAAATGGAGAGTAAAAAAATAATTTACCCGGTCGTAGCAAGAGTCTCAGCACCAGTGAGCTCCAACGCTTTTTTGGACAAAGTGTTATTTATTTATTTATTAAAATATAATAATGCGATGATAATAAAATAGAATGATGATATCTTTGTAGCATTAATGATAGTGATTATAACGGTTTGTTTTTATTGTGGCAGCACGACCGGGCGGTTTTAGGCCCCGTCTACCATGTACCAGCGTAAAGTAGACATAATAATTAGCTGTTGGCAGTTCCATAGTGAAAATGCACCAATATTTGTATTACTTATACCATATTAATTATACAATATAAAACTGTCATGTGCTTTTTTTATTTTTCCATAATTTTTAGGATTCCGTATCAAAAAAATACTTAAAAATTTAAAAAAAACAGCGCGACATTAAATTCGTCGTAGGTATTTCTATCCTTTTCTATTTACTCCTAATGCTCCAAACACCACAAATGCACGCACGCTCTATATTGTTGCATATCAATAGGAGCCGTTGTTTAATGGTATAAATTAATGAAAATAGAACTATTAACCTTAGTAACTGTAAATTATTTATTTTTGCAATTAGTAATGAATGTTTATTGTACTTATTTAAATCAAGTCATTCAAACAAAAGTGACTGACTGTCTTTTTATATATCTTTTATGGTTTGTTTTTAAGGTTGACCCTTTATTTCTTAATAGCAACTAATTTATTGTAAAATAAATATGCAGTGACGTCAGGATAGGTGAGAGTTGTTTATTTTCGAAGAAAATCCTCTTTTGGATCATTCGTCTTGTTAATTAAAGGTTAAGCAGGTAACGAGCATGCGTACTACCAGGACAATTGTCAATTGTCAGTTTAATATACACTAAAGTTATCGAATGTCAGTCATATTTTTTGCAAATCTTGTTATCAATAAAGTGAAAATGTTACATATTTTAGTTGCATAGTGCAGTTATGAGTGTTATTGTGATTTGCTTGGAAAAATACACGATAAATTCGAAGTAGAATTGTTGCCATAGTTATTGTATAGGTGGGTAAGTCATTTATAGCATATGTCCTCGTTTTGTTTTAATATTAAATATGTACCTCATGAAAACAATTTGTTCTTTAACTGCTAATATAATTTACTGCTAAATTGATTTTAGTGTAAGTGTTACACTAGTTTTAATATGTTAGAATTTGGTATCCATTGTAGGTACATTACCTAATTTGATTTGTCAGAAGTTTTTTCAGAAAAGTAATTTCTTATCTGTAATTAAATTTAACACTTAATAAATAACATATCTGATATTACAAACCTTTGTTCATAATACGACGAAATTATTTCTTTATCAGTTCGTTTTTGCAAGTTATCAAAAAATGTCAATTCCAATTTTATACAAATAGAAAGCAGTTTTACAGCTTCTTTTAAATTACTTATTTGCTTACTGCATGTGTTTATTTACTTTTATTGTTTAAATATTCAGTGTATATACCTGTAATTAAATTTAACAGAACATAAGTGTTATGTATTTAAGTCTAACTTGATTATTTTATTAAAAAAAGAAAAACAACAATTTGTAGATACATTTTAATATAAAATCCTTTCTGTATGTTTTATTTAAAGGTATTGTTTGTTTGCTTAAAACAAGAACATACAAAATTTTTCTGTTTTTTATTATTTCATCTGGCACATATATGTAAAATACATTTACCTTACTCTTATAAGAAAGTCAGATAAAAAAGTTAATATAGAACACAATATGCATTAAAAAACTACAAATATTCTTTTATGTATGCTTTTTAATGCACTTGTTCTAATTTACTCAATTTAAGCTAGACTTTAGCCTTCTGCTTTGACCTTGTATGGAAAACAATGATGTAATTATGACCACAGAAGGCATGCTTTACTTATTACTGATGTAACATAATTTTATGAATGAATAATTATTATTTCTTGTATTTATTTTGTTTATTTTCTAATAGGAAATTTGTAGCAATGAATAGTACGCTACCAGCAGTTGCAAAGCTTATTTCTAATCAATCAAAACAAGCTTTAATGAGCGATGCTCAAAATGTAAAAATAACTCCTTCGGAGCCAATTTTCTTGGAAACCAGTCTTGCCAAAGGGATAGCTGGGTTCTTCGTTTGGACAGCTTTGTTTTTAACGTGTCAGCAGGTACGTTAAAGTTATTTTGTACGATTACTTATTAAAGTCGATCGAGTAGAGAGTATTAAGAATTTTAAATTTATTTATTTGTAGAGCAATTTTTTAATAATCTTATTTAAAAAATACAGATTTATCGTCATCTTCGATGGTACACAAATCCTGCTGAACAAAGATGGATCGTCAGGATTCTCTTTATAGTCCCAATATACGCCACTTATTCCTGGATAAGTCTTTTATTCTTCAATTCAGAAAGCTACTACGTATATTTTTTTACTGTTAGAGATTGTTATGAAGGTATTAAACAAATGCGTGTCATCTAACATTTACTAATTAGTTATTCTTTTGTCTTCTTCTAGCATTTGTTATATACAGCTTCCTGTCTCTCTGTTATGAGTATTTGGGAGGAGAGAGCAACATCATGTCCGAAATAAGGGGAAAACCCATCAGGTCGAGCTGTCTTTTTGGCACTTGCTGTTTGATAGGGAGGAACTACACCATCGGTTTCCTACGTTTTTGTAAACAGGCCACTCTTCAGTTCTGCATTGTTAAGCCTATCATGGCTTTCGTTATCATATTTTTACAGGCCTTTGGACACTACAGGGACGGTGACTGGAGGTAACTTGTACTCGCAAATAAAAAAAAATGCATTTCTCAATGTTGCTTTTAATGTTTCAGTCCGAACGGTGGTTATTTATACGTGATAATTATCAATAATATATCCGTCTCTCTTGCCCTTTACGGCCTGTTCCTGTTCTATTTCGCCACGCGTGACCTTCTGACCCCCTTCGATCCGGTACTTAAATTCTGCACCGTCAAAACTGTAATTTTCGTCTCGTTTTGGCAAGGTAAGGACACATGGAACCATGTGACCCTGCAGATGACTCATTTCAATCTTTGTAGGGGTCGGTCTGGCAATCCTGGAGAAAGCGGAGGTGATCTCGCCCATCATAGACAGTAGTAATGGTATGAAAACGTCCACCGGTACCGTTTCGGCCGGCTATCAGAACTTCCTCATTTGTATCGAAATGTTTTTCGCTGCCGTCGCCCTCCGATACGCCTTCCCTCATCGGGTGTACACTCAGGAATGCGTCACCAACTCGACAGGCAGGTCCGTCACCATGCAGAGCATCTCCAGCAGCCTGAAGGTGAGAAATATCGAACGAAACGTGTTAGAGATCTTTTAACGAATTTTTGTAGGAAACCATGAATCCTCGGGATATCATGACCGACGCCATACACAATTTCCATCCGCAGTATCAACAGTATACCCAGTATACCTCAGGTGAGAAATAATTTTTCATTAGCATATACAGCTTTGGGCTGGTGTCCTGATTGATTAAAAGCAATAGATCAGTAATATTTACTGATCGTTTTGTGTATGACCCCCTCAGGAAAGTAATACTTTTCCGCGTACGTGCTAATTAACGCTTCCGGTTATTTTAGTTACCTGTTTTTGGTTAACGACCTTCAATTAGGAGATTAATTAACTTATGTTTAATAAGATAATGGCGGTCGTTGAACTAAAAACAAACGCATTCTTTGTCGCAATATGGCTACTGGTTGCAGTTGTTACAAGGTTGCTGTTGTAAAACAGTTGCCATTAATGCTTAAAAAACGATAATCTTTATGTTTTTTTTTTGTTCTAATTTTGCAGAAGTTACATCAAAACTGCCTTACGAGAAGCTCTGAGGGCGTTAGTTGTGCGTCTTTGCAACGCGTCTATTTCTTTTGCTCTGGGTCGTGTCTTTCAAACAAGTACACACAAACAAAAGATTAGATACCCTTATATTCTTGCTCGATGTACCTTCATTTGTTTTATTTAACAAACAAACGTGTCTCAAACTTTGGCGACTATTGCCATTTACTCCTATTAGTGACAAAAAAATGTGTATAATTTGATCATACGTATAATTGTTTAAAGTATTTTTGTATTACAATGTACAACGTAAATATACATTAGCGTTTAATACACAAAAACTGGGAAAATCGGTAGATATACAGTGACAAAGACAAACAAACGAACAAAAAAGACTCGTCTCAATAAGTTGTAACTTTTTCCTATTTGCGGCTTTATTGGCTCATAAAAGTTTCGATTCGGTTTTTGTTTTATTTGCGGTAATTGCTTCTTGATATTCTAGTCGCCTCAGAAAATTGAACGTACAATAAAAAACAAGAGTAGGGTGCAAAACAAATGCTAATACTGTTATTGGATATTAAGTCGATGTTTAATTTCCAGTTTATTTTACATAAATAACAAGCATTTAATTAATTTACCTGTAGCGGTTGTATATGTAAATATCTAATTTAAGTCATTGTATTATTTTTTTTTTATTTTTTAAATAATGTAGTTCGATTCCTGGTACGGGGATTATCTGTTGTGTATTATGTTTCTATAAAGTTTAGTTTATCAAGTTATTAGTCGATTAAAAAACAGTATTGGGACTTAATTTATTTTTTAAAATAAAACGACTAAGCTCATATAAGAACAAGCGTTGAAATGGTGACGTTATTATGAAACCTAAAAGAAAAAAGTGTAATACATAATTGTATCCAAATTGTTTCATGTTATGTATATATTCTAAGTATTAATATAGATGAATCGTTGGGGAATCCCTAAATATATTTTTTATTTCCTATTAATATACCAAAGGCTATATATATATAAATCATTTTGACATTTAATAGAAGTTGATATTAAATTAATGTGAAATTTCATTTAATTTATTCCAACTATAAACTACCTTAAATTAATAAAGGAAAAAATTGTTGCTGTAGTCACACCCTCACCGGGAATCGAACCCGTGCTGGTCAGAGCATTGGTGCGTAAAGCCAAAGGTCCGGGGTTCGATTCCCGGTGAGGGTGTGACAATAGCAACAAATTTTTCCTTCATTAATTTGAGGTAATTTATAATGGGAAAAAATTAAATGAAATTTCACATTAATAGTAAAGCCTGTTTTTGGACTCCATACCAGAAAAGGGCCTGTCAGGAAGCATAAAAAGTTTTGTCTGTGGCAACACTGGAGATAAAAAAGGCACTGAGCAATTGCTTTACGTAAATTTTATTTTCAAAACAAAAATAATGACATCAACCGAAAAAAAATATATATAATAGGTATGACATATATTACGTTTAGCTAACAGGTTATTACAAATAATCCTTTTGACTAATAACGTAAGTAAATGTTACGAAAATAACAATTATTTATTCTTTTATCTCTACAATTAACACCTTTTCCTTCATAATTTTATTTAGGACTTTATATAATACTTTGGTAACGACAAAATATACTTAAAAGTTACATAAATTAAATTTACTGCAACAAAAAAAAATACAATACCAATAAAAGTATTTTTACATTTATTTATTCAAAAGACTATTTTCTATAAGTTTTTTTATATGTGTTTTTGTATTTTTTTTATTCACTTTAGTTATTATATATAGAAATACCTTATACACCGATTCTAAAGTAGAATATAAAATTTTTAAACAAAGAATGTTTATAAAAATACAAAAAGCAAACAGTAACATTTTCAAGTCCAAAACCTTTTCTAATAATGTTCTCATCAATAAATTATTATCAGTGGCCTTCTCATCAAACCCAAGTCAGCGATAATAAAATGAAAACCCAACAGGCTTTTGCATTCGTGACTTATGCCTTCCAAGCAAACATTTTGTATATTATTTCATTTTGTGCGGATGGTATTAATCATCAAAATGAATTTAACAAACATAATGAAAATATTTTCGGCCATTAACACCGAAATAAAAACATATTTATTATTAAAGTCGAAGAACACTTGCAATTAACTGTATTATCTCTCTTCTCCTCCTCTCCTCGGTCCTTCAACTGTTGTTTTTAAACTTATTTTGTTGTTCCAATAGTTGTTGTAAGGACTGTGGAGCTTGTCCTGCGAACAATGAATGCTGATTCATGAGCATATCAGGGGGAACTGTGTTTCGAAATTGTCCAGATAAATTTGGAGACCATCCTCCTGAGTTGAATAAAGAATATCCAGGAGGGGTGTACATCTTCTCCTCCGGGGGGCCAGTTTTAGGAGGAGGTGGAGGAGGCATCTGCATACCAGCGACGTTTTTGGCCTCTTTGAGCATGGCTTGTCGTAAGGACAAACTCTGGTTGTTTCCCATGTTGCTGCCGTCGTAATTAACCGGTCTTGAAGGAGGCATAGGGTTCCATGGGGAATTAAACGAAGTATCTTGTTTCTTTTGCATGTTATTTGGGGCTATGTTCGAAAACGAATAAGGCATATTACCCTGATATTGATAGTTCAACTGATAATTGTCTTGCTGGTTCTGAGACGGCTGATTGCCGCCGGAATTGGGCCAGTTGGACCACGGGGGCACCTGTTGTGAATCGGTTTTCCATGTGCTCGAAAATTGGGGATAATGGCTGATGTTTTGGTAAGGGATATTTGGATTATTCGGGGGATAGTTGCCCTGTTGACGATACGATGGTGGCATGTTGGTGTTAAAATTGTGACTGCTAGATCCAAAACCGACCAGGTTTGGATTGTTTGAACCGAAATTATTCGGAAAATTGCTGGAATTAAAGTTCGAATTGTTTAAGGGTGGTAAAGACTGCGACGAATTACTCAATGTTTGTGGCGGTAAAGAGAAGCTACCACTTCCGTGCATGGTTTCTGAGTAATTTCCAAAATTTTGCATAGGCTTCATTCCAGAATCTGTAACGAAAGAACTCATGGGCATCTTGATATCAAACGAAGTGTTGGGGAAGTATTGATACGAGCTTTTTGGGTAATCAACTGGTTTTTCGTTAAGGCCCTTGATTGAAGTCCAGAACATTTCGTTTTGTGGAGGGACTGACGAGTCCGTACTAGTTTGTTTTTTAGGTATGGATTCTATCTTTTCCTTCTCTGGTTCCACGCTAAACTTAACCTGTTTGCTTTCTTCAATCTTCTTGAAGATGCTTTGAAGTGCGACGTTTTGACGAACCCTTTTTTGTTTGAAAGAATCTACTTTTAAGTTAGAATTAGCAGATATGCTGGACACAGAACTGCTACTGCTCGCGTGAGATACAGCCCCCGTTTCAGATGCTAGCAAAAGCTGCTCCCTTTCTTCTCTTGCCTTCTCTAGGGATCCTTGTGGCTTTAAAATACCACTGCGTTTTTCTGAAAACAAACAACAAAAAATTACTTATAAAACTATTAATACGGTAACAATAATAGCATAATAGCAAATAATTTATTTTTACCTTTACTTTTATTATTGTCATTGTTGACTTCTGAGAGACTAAACGACTTCATTTCTTCAAGCAGTTTTGATGTTGGATCAGGTTGAGTGCACTGAGGTTCAAAAACTATACTATCCTCATCACTACCCTTCTTATTATTAATAAGTTTTTTGCTGTTAACTTCAACAGAAGTCAACCAAGTGCCATATTCTATCAACCTTTTGGCTCTAATGGTCTTTTCTTTATCCACATAATCTTCTTTGTCCACTTTAGACTTGTATTTTTTAAATATCTCGGAGAATGGTAAGAAGCCTTGCAATTCTCTATCTTCATATAAAAGCACATTCTCATATGGTTTACAATCAAACTCTGCTGTAATTTCCTGCAGACTGTTCAAAAGCTTGCACAAACTTGGCCATATTTGGGGCCAGTTTGTAAAAACAGTTTCCTGAAGAACTTCTGGCTCTATTTTAATCCAATAAAGAATCAGAGTTAGTGCAGGTAAGGCATAATAGTCTAAAAGGGTCTTATCATGTTTTAAAGTGTATACAGGCAAAAGAAATGCACTTAATGAACCAGCTAATAATTCCAAAACAAAATTTCTGATCTTTTTTTCATCTTCAGTTAATTCATTGACATCTCTGTTCTTCTCATTCTCTAATTTCTGTAAATTTTTTAATTGGTACAGGTTAATGACAACCATTCGAAGTAATTGCTCCATTGTGAAACTTTGAGTTGCTATAAGTGCTGTTAAAGTGGCATTTATACTTTTAACAATTATTTCAACTTGTTCCAAATCAGTTGCAAACAGGAGCAGTCCTTGGGCCTTTAAAAACTTCTGAATGAATTCATTCACGCTCATTTTTGTCTGTACTTCACTTAGGGACTGTTCTTTTTCCACTACAGTTGATAATGTTTTTAATAAATTGGCTGTGGCAGCATGAAAAGGATTTTTAACAGCTATGCTTCTTATATAATAATAAACAGTTGCCAATTTATCTCCATGACTTGTTTCCAACAGGGCTAATTGATTGTAAGGTTGTCCACTTGTTGGTGAAATTTGTATTGAGTATTTGTAATAACTTTCTGCTTGTTTCCTGTGGTTTTGGTACCTGGCAATATCTCCTAGGTGTACAAGACAATACTGGCACATATATAAACATGACGAATTCTTTGCTTTATTGAAATCCTTAGATGTGTTAGGTCTTGTTTGTTCATACATCATAAGCAGTTTGTGAAAGGGCATGTCCAGATCGTAAAGTGCACAAAATTCTTGTAAAAGCGATGAATAAAATCCAAAGGCTGTTTGTAAACACCATGATAACAAAGCCTGAGCATCACTTCTTTGAGGGTTTTTAACATCTCTTATAATTTCTTGTAAAGTGTTGATGTAATTTTTAAAACCAAGCATCCACAATTCTTGTTCAATTTTCTTGTCAAGTGCATATTCTAAGTCCAGGATTAAAACTTCATGATATATTGTCCTGAGCTGTTGTTGATCATTCCATGGCTTGGAATCATTGATAAGATCATGTTTTTGAGACATGCTCGCTTTCAATGCGTCTGCTTTTTGTAAAGCTTGAATTGCTGCTTTGCACTTCATTACTGTTACAATTTTAAACTTATTTGAACAAAAATTACATACACTTCAGTAAATTTAATTATATATTATATAAAATTTCACCACAAAACTTATATTTACGTTTACACAAACTGCCTGGTTTGTTAAAAATAATTTCTTACACTTTACACCGCATTTACAGGACAAGGATAATTATTGTTAATTCCTATTTTTTTTAACGAAATATTAAAAACCATTACTCAATTCAGCCCATTAAAATTGTTTCTTATCATTTTTGGTTATTTTCCAGTAATTGTCAAATTCACAAAATTTTAATTTCGAACTAATCTATTTTACATTTGCAGAAAATATATTTTTTGAATAAAACATAAGCACCAATTGAGGTTTACAATATAATAAAAAACTCAGCATAAAAATAGTCTTATTTGCTTTTATATAAACATATTTTTCTTCAAAACTACAATTTTAAAACATAGTATTAACATAGCGAATGCATCTTTTATAAAAACATGTTTTATTCTTATTCAATAGTTCTTTGACGTTTGGATAATGCCCGGTAAAATGTAAAGCTCATTTTCGTAGTTGGCCATAGTGACAATTGACAAATGTGATTTGTGCTTACAGAGACCAAAAATTTTTATTGTAGTTCGTTGCTTATAAAATTGAAATCATTTTAGTTTAACAGTCATAAAAATGGATACCCGAAAGTTGATAGATCTTTTAAGGGCCACTATAGACCCTAACCAGCGAAAACAAGCAGAAGAACAATTAGCACAGGTTGTGAGCCATGTGCTTTTTAAAATATGCTATTGTTGTGTCATGTAACAAAATCTAAATTTTCACTCTTGTCTTGTTGCAGATTCACAAAATTATTGGCTTTGCCCCCTCACTTCTACAAGTAGTAATGATGAATGACTGTGAAATGCCAGTTAGACAAGCTGGAGCCATTTACTTAAAAAACCTTATATCACAAAATTGGCAAGATCGAGAAGCTGAACCAGGTCAACCAATGCCATTTTCTTTACACGAACAAGATAGGTCGTTAATTAGAGAAACAATTGTTGATGCAGTTGTCCATGCACCAGATTTAATAAGAACTCAATTGTGTACTTGTGTTAATAATATGGTTAAACATGACTTTCCTGGAAGATGGACACAAATAGTGGACAAAGTATGTATTTGTTAGATTTACTGTTACTAAATTAATTACTGTTAAATTGTGGTAATCTCAAATTTACAGAATCAACAAAAAAATCCTAATAGTAGCAGAGGGATTAGTAATTAAGAGTTGGGTAATTTATTTTGTAACAAGGTTTTTAAATAATAATTATTTTACAACTATTTTATGTTAAAATTAATTTTTAATGAAATCTGTTGATATTAAGTTCAAAATTTTATTAACATTAAACTGTAAATGCATATTTCTTTAAACCACTCTACGACTCACTCCTGAAATCATTGTAGTTTAAACTAATTTAATTCTTAAATTCTTTTTGTATTTAAATGTATATTGTAACTACCTAATATAATCTAATTACATCTGCTGCTGGGGTCATAAGTGAAAATAGGTTAAAGTTCTTCTAAATTATCAGATTAATTAACATTAATGCTAATTTAAGTTTTTAATTTGTATGCCCACATTCCTGAGAGGTCATTAAAAAATTGTTTAATATCTATNACTAGGACTATGTACGTTGATCATCTTCTGTTTATTACAATTTTTTTTAGAACTACTGTAAACTAATCTTATAAAATATTAATTTTGAATTCATTTTAGATAAGCATATACCTTTCTAATCCTGAAGCAAGTGGATGGTATGGAGCACTTTTATGTCTATATCAGTTAGTTAAAAATTTTGAATATAAAAAAGTGGAAGACAGGGGGCCTTTACATGAGGCTATGAACCTTTTATTGCCCCAGTTATATCAACTGGTTGCCCAACTGTTACCTGATCCGTCAGAGCAATCTGTACTGCTACAGAAAACAGCTCTAAAAGTTTATTTTGCCCTTACTCAATACACCCTGCCTTTAGATCTCATAACTAAGGAAGTATTCACTCAGTGGATGGAGGTCTGCCGGCAGGTATAATTTTCATTATGATTCCTATGTGTATATGTACATGAACTTGTATTCTATGTTCTTTAGGTTGTTGACCGTCCAGTACCTCCGGCAGCTCTACAACCCGACGAGGACGAGAGGTCCGATTTACCCTGGTGGAAGTGTAAAAAATGGGCTATGCATATATTATATCGTATGTTTGAAAGATATGGTTCTCCTGGCAATGTTACCAAAGAGTACAACGAGTTTGCCGAGTGGTACCTGCAGACGTTTAGCAGCGGAATTCTAGAGGTTCTTCTCAAACAATTGGACTTGTACAGGTATGAATCTTACTTCATTATTACCATTTTTTTAAATCTTATATTGTATCTTATTTTTTAAGGAATAAAACTTGGCTACCACCTCGGGTGATACAGCAGACTCTCAATTATTTGAACCAGGCTGTTTCGCATGCTCACACATGGAAGCTGCTCAAACCCCATATGCCGGCCATCATACAGGATATTATATTCCCCATAATGAGTTATTCGTCTGAAGACGAAGAATTATGGACCGTCGATCCTCATGAATATATTCGGGTCAAATTTGGTAAATTAACAACGCAGAATTCCAAATTTAACAAATTGTGCATGTTGTTTTTTAGATGTGTTTGAAGATTACATTTCTCCGGTATCAGCTGCTCAGAATCTTCTTCGTAGCTCTTGTAAGAAGCGAAAACAGATGCTCCAGAAGACGATGCAGCTTCTTGACCAAGTATTAAATAATCCAGCAACAGAACCACCACAGAAAGACGGAGCTCTACACATGATAGGCGGCCTGGCAGACGTGTTGCTCAAGAAAAAGGCCTACAGCAGTCAAATCGATCAGTTGTTCATTAAATATGTGTTTCCCGAATTTGGAAGTCCTAGAGGACACATGCGAGCTCGTGCCTGCTGGATGGTCCACTTTTTCAGCGAGTTTCACTTCAACCAAGAACAGGTACTCGCAGAAGCAGTCCGATTAACAACTGGAGCTCTCTTACAGGATAAGGACTTGCCTGTCAAAGTAGAAGCTGCCATCGCGATACAATCGCTGTTGAGCGATCAGGAACATTCTCATAAGTACATCGAACCTCAGGTGAAGGAGATCGCGTTGGAGTTGCTCACACTGATCCGAGAGACGGAAAACGAAGACGTGACAGGTGTAATGCAGAAACTCGTATGCGTCTTTACCGTCCAATTAACGCCTATCGCAGTGGAGATGTGTCAGCATTTGGCGGGCACTTTCAGCCAAGTCTTGGACACGGACGAAGGTTCTGATGAGAAAGCCATCACCGCCATGGGCTTGCTGAACACGATTGAAACATTATTGACCGTTATGGAAGAGAAACCGGAGGTACAACAGCTCCTGGAACCGACCATTCTACAAGTAGTTGCGCACGTTTTACAGAACGAACTTCAGGAGTTCTACGAGGAAGTGTTTGCACTTGTATCCGAACTTACGTCGAAAAGAGTCTCCGATGACATGTGGAAAGTATTTGAACTTCTTTACCAGGTGTTCATGAAGAATGGTTTGGACCATTTCACCGATATGATGCCCGCCCTCCATAATTACGTTACGGTATGCACAGATGCGTTTCTTGCAGATGAAAAGAGACTCCTAGCCATCTATAATATGTGCAAGGTAAGATTCCTTTTGGAGGATGGATCTAGATGTACAATATAAATATATTTTTGTGTTCTGTATTTAGGAAGTGATGAGTAAAGATTGTGGCGAAGATCCAGAGTCGCACGCTGCCAAACTTCTGGAGGTGGTGATTCTACAATGTCATGGACGCATAGACCAAGCGATACCAATGATAGTTGAGCTGGCGGCTACTCGTCTTTTGAGACAAGTGCGCACCAGCGAATTACGAACCATGTGTCTCCAAGTTCTCATCGCAGCCCTATACTACAATCCCCATCTTCTTTTCTCCATATTGGATAAGAGACCTGATTTCGCCGAGCATTTTATCAAACAGTGGCTGCACGACATTGACTGTTTTTTGGGGGTACACGACAGGTATATTATTAAATTTCTTTTACGTTATCTTAAGGAAAGTTTAATTTTAATTATTATTTTTAAGAAAAATGTGCCTACTAGGACTATGTACNTGCATTCGCAGTTCGCCGCTTAAAATTTCTGATTTTCTCTTGTATAAGTCCGCCTGTAGATTGAATAAAATAATTATTACAAAACTGATTGAAAAGAAAAAAGTCATATTTACCTCTGATTTCAGTTTGGCCTTTTCTACTTCACTTCGAAGGGCTTGACAGTAATCGTAAACCTCCCCTGAATCTTCCGTGATATTTAGCGATTCGATTTCGGTATCAACTTCTTTTACTTGCTTCGTAAGTCCCTCCACGTCATTCTCCAACCGTTCCGTTTGTCTTTGTAAATTTTCCATCGCGGTTCCCAATCGTTTATGTCCATCTGCTTTATCAGACTGTTCAGTGCATAGTCCGCTGAGTCTGGTATCTGCAAACTCTTTTAGTTCCTTCCTAACAGTGAACAAACTCATAGAATTGCTGACAGCTGCTATTTGTTCTTCGAGTATTAATCGTCGCGTGAATAGGGCCTTTAGCTGTTCTTTGATTTTCAAATTTGTAGAATCTCCTTTTTCTTCACATTGCTGTTCATCTTGTTTCAGAGGTGATGCTACTTCAATATTGACCATTTTGTTGCAGGTACATGATGATGTAGAAGCCACTTGGGATTTTAACTGTTCTATTTCCAATTTCAGTTTTTCATTTTCCTTGAAAAATATGAATTTTCACACAGATGCAAATATATAAGTTTATTATTATTACTATTTACCTGTTGCAGTGCTTCGTTTTGTTTGATATAAAACTGTATGTTTGTACTGCATGAAACGACATTTTTCTTTAATTTAGCCTTTATCTTCTTGGCGCGAGTGGCATATTTTAAAGTATTATAGGTGTCTTCGATATTCAATGATACTGGCGAGACGTTTGCTATCATAACAGTCTTACAGTTGCCTCCTAAACTGTCTTTTAACAGTCTAGTTAATTTTGAGTCTCTAAAAGTGTGATTTAAGTGTTTAACTTAGTAACAAATTACTTAAGAAATTAATAATAATTTTATTACCTGTATGGAATATGTCTTTGTCCATCTGCTAAGCTGTTAATGCAGTTGCCCAGAGCTAATAAGGACTTATTTATATTGGCTCCTTCAGTAAAACGTGCTCCACTATAGCCAGTGGCCGCACCCCTTTCACTTCCAGCCAAGTCAATCATACTCAGCTTTGCTGCAAGTATCTGCTGAGTCGTTTTTACACTCATTTTTATATATACCTAAACAGATTTATTAAAATTACTTTAGTGTAATAATAACAGAAGATCCCTTATCAAAATACCTGAAAGACAGCATGAGATCTAGAACTTTCTGCATTTGCATCTGTTGGGTGCTGTGTTCTGTTTTGATTCCCAGTTTGAAGCAATTCAAAAAGTTCTTCACAACTCTCTATTCTTTTAACTTGTACACCAGCAACTATAACACCAAATTTGCCATCTTCACGCAAGTTTAATGGACTGCCTGGATTCAATAGGTCCTGTACAGTTTCATTATAAACTTCCAAATATGTTATGCCCAATTCAAAGTCTCTTTCATTGGACAATTCCTCCTTGCGCTTAAATAGCTCTGACATTGTTAAAACTGTGATGCCTGGATTGTCTGGTTTCCCTATCATGGTGAATGTTTTACCGGCACCTTTAAACATTTATTTAAACAAGTTAATATCAAATAGGCTATTAAAAAGGATATAAACGACCTGTAGCGCCATATGCAAAAACTGAACAGTTGTAGCCATCCATCAGTTTATCTATTAAAGACTTTGTACTTTTTTCAAAGACCTCTGCATTGGTTGCTTCAAATCCAAATACTCGGTCAAAATGAAATTGCAAATTCTTATTGGCCTTTTTTAATAAATCTCGACCTTTCTGTTGAACACCGTGATAAAAGAATGGGTCATTTTCTTCCTTAGGGTCGAATATCAACATCTCATCACTAACCACTTTTATTATTTTTCTAAAAATGAAATCTCTCAACCTATCTTTAAATTTTAAAAAAGTATACACAGAAACAAACCTGAAATTGTCCCCTTGTTCATTAGCATTTGGTGGTCTAACACGAACCACAACACAAATGTCAGCTCCACTATTCACATTGATTTTATTTCGTACCCCTGAGCGTAGAAGGGTGAAAGATCTTCTTCTGGGTGATTTCAGTAAGTCTCGCTTGCTTTTAACCATTTTTATATTTATAGCATCGATTAAAGGTATCTTCAACATTACATTACATAAAAGCACATTGGTTGTATTAAGTATACAACATTAAAACTGATTAAAACGAAGTATATACCACACTGACAACATGGATATAATTTGAAAACTTATTTAATATCGAAAACAAATGCACATCAATACTTTTTCCTGCTTGGCAGGTGACAGGGGCACAACAAACGTCTCGTTTAAACCGTTTTCGTCATCTTTATCGCCTGCATATCCTCTAGAAGTAAATACATTATCTATACATAGAAAATTACTTTAAGACTAAATAAAATTTAATAAGCTACAATAAATTTACTAAATTTTACATTGCTGTAAGTATTTGGTAAGTTTGTTATTAATATGCTATACTTATCCCTTATCATTTAAGTAATGACACTAGTGAATTATTTACCACCCCACTTCATTAATATAAAATGTAGATCAATTTTAGTTTGGTAATTGATTTAATCTTGTTTTACTTTGTCTGTTGATTTTTATATTTAAGAATGTTGGAATAGGAATTTAATGATTCAAATGCAAATATTGCCATTAGACTAACTAAATTTCCTTTCAGATATTAATGAATTGAATTTACCAAAAACATGCACTACAGAGTTTCCTGACCCTGATGATCTACTTAATTTTAAGTTGATTATTTGTCCGGATGAGGTAAGTTTTGATTTTATTTCAAGGCCAAGTTACAATACAGTAACAATTAATTAATTAATTAATTAACGCAGAATTAAGTACTTTGAAATTGGATCGAAATTAAAACTTATTCTGTAAGATAATAGTAGTCATAGAACCTCTACACAGGTGTATATAGAAACCTCTTTACAAATTGACAACGAAACTGAACTCTACATTTATTCTAGAAACTTCCCAAAAGATTCTAATAACTAATTATTATCTATAGTTTCTTGAATATGCCATTACAACTCCAATTTTCTAGACACATTAATGCAGGGTTTAATTACAGGGTTTTTATCGGACAGGACGTTTCGTGTTTAGTTTCAAAGTGGGCCCCAATTATCCGCATGAACCTCCGAAAGTAAAGTGTGAAACACAAGTATATCATCCAAACATAGACCAGCAGGGTAACGTCTGCTTAAATATACTCAGAGAAGATTGGAAGCCTGTTCTGACTATAAACAGCATCGTTTATGGTCTTCAGTATCTGTTTTTAGAACCCAATCCAGAAGATCCTCTTAATAAAGAGGCTGCAGACGTTTTGACCACCAATCGTCGCTTGTTTGAACAGAATGTTCAGAAAGCTATGCGAGGTGGATTCGTAGGTGGTACATATTTCGACCGATGTTTGAAGTGATTTGAGTTAGAAGATATCTAACACCAAACCATGTTGTTAATGTAAAATTTCCGTTTGTGTAAAGAGACACTCGAGTGGTTTTTGCGTTGAGTTGATTCAAAATCCAATAATTCGTACGTATATATGTTGGTATGTTCTATTAATTTTTCTTTATTTTTTTCTTCGCGTTTTATTTTTCATTTCGATATTATTACTTACAACTAGGCAAAACAACTGGTATTAAGTTTTTATATACTGCAATTTTGCATACATTTTAAATCGAATGATAAAGTAATGAAATTTGAGATTAAAAAATGGAAATTTAAATAGAGGAGGTAGTGTTATCAAATTTAAGCTCTTCAAGATATTTCTTATGCTTTTTTAACGTTTAAAATCCACACTAAATCATGTAAAACTATTTTTGTTAATTATATGAATTGAACACGTCAATGTTTTTTTTTTTTCAGTTGAGCTTATTTAATGAACATTTACTTAAACACTTGTTTTAATGATTTATTCTTTTAAGTGACGTATCAGTAATTTTAATTTCATTTATTGCAGTTTCTTCTTTTTTATATGATTACATTTTTTATTAAACACATAGATAATATAAATAAATCATCTTAGGAAGGAGTAAAAGAACATAAATAATTACAATAAAAAAAATGAGATTACCGTCAAATTTTACAGAAAACAGGTTGGAAATGAAACAAATATTTAAGTGTTTATTAAATAAGCGAATCAAAAATTTCCCGAAAATAATAAATATCCTTCAGTACAACACTGAAATACTCCGATTACCTTTTAACNGTAATTATAAAATTATAAATTATTTTTTTTACAATTAATTATTTGGCGTTTAGATTCTATTTATCAATTTTTGGTTCTAGTGTTGTGAAGAGAAGACGTTATGAAGTGAAGTGTATTATTCTTTTTATGGTAAGTTTTCCCTCTTCATAATTACTATTTTACTAAGAACAGAAGCTAAAAAAAATAAGACGACGTTCAATTTAAAGCAAAATAAAACGTCTATATTAATAAAATAATAACATATACATCTGAGGCTTATTACAATATACATACATAAAAGCATACAAATAGTGTTAAATTTAAATACCATTAAAGTATCATCTTCGATTTTTCAAGCTGAAATACAATTAAATTATTAATTAAAGAACGAAATATTTGTATGAAGTACTCACAGTGGCTTAGGAGCAGTCGTTATGGGGCTTTTAGTCTTGTTCATCAGTAAATGTGAGGATGATTTTCCTTATAAAAAGAAAACAAATGTAAGGAAATACTTTACAAAATATTTTTGAAAAATTATCGAAAAATCGCAAATAAGCAGTGATTCACCAAATTTGTCACTGTTTTTACACGCCTGTAGGCTCTAATTCTTTCTGAACTGTATTTTTAAATCGATCTCCATAGTTATCATGAATAATAGTCAAAAACGTCATATTTTGATAGTTAATTCATCAATTCATAAACACCTTGAAAACTGCCATTTTTGAACTTAATTTTGTAAAATTTACATACCTTGTGGAGTTTTACTTGACTTAAATGTAGGATCTTTGTTCTCTTTTGTTAGCCTAATTAATTTTGGAGGCTGCACTTTGGCTAATTTTTTTGTCGGAGCTGTCTTGGTAACTGTAACAAAACAAAAATAAATTTAAGTCGCCTTCTCAACTCATTAAAACAAGCCTGAACATTCAATAAAAATTTAATTAGACAATTACACATCTAAAAGAGACCCTTTCTTGTTACGTTACATTTTTTTAATGAGACTATAAGTCACAAAAAAATTATGTAATATCTGATTAACAATTGACGAAACATATGGTTCAATGGTCCCACCTCTAGTCAATACTTTTTCCTGCTTGGCAGGTGACAGGGGCACAACAAACGTCTCGTTTAAACCGTTTTCGTCATCTTTATCGCCTGCATATTTTCTCTTGTTATTAGGAGTCTTTTTCTTATTTTCTCCCACGTCCGACTGGATTACTGTAGTAGTTGAGCCAACACCAGAGTCTGCAGATGAAGCTTCCTCGTCTTTCCAGCACACTGTGCGGAATCCCTGACAGTGCCGTACTAGGTCGTGGTAACTTTTAATCATATCGTTGGTGGCGTACCCGTACCCACGCAGTTGTAGGAAACACGGCTTCAAAACGGCGCTCATTCGTTGTATAAGTTCCCCATGCATTCGCAGTTCGCCGCTTAAAATTTCTGATTTTCTCTTGTATAAGTCCGCCTGTAGATTGAACAAAATAATTATTACAAAACTGATTGAAAATAAAAAAGTCATATTTACCTCTGATTTAAGTTTGGCCTTTTCTACTTCACTTCGAAGGGCTTGACAGTAATCGTAAATCTCCCCTGAATCTTCCGTGATATTTAGCGATTCGATTTCGGTATCAACTTCTTTTACTTGCTTCGTAAGTCCCTCCACGTCCTTCTCCAACCGTTCCGTTTGTCTTTGTAAATTTTCCATCGCGGTTCCCAATCGTTTATGTCCATCTGCTTTATCAGACTGTTCAGTGCATAGTCCGCTGAGTCTGGTATCTGCAAACTCTTTTAGTTCCTTCCTAACAGTGAACAAACTCATAGAATTGCTGACTATTTGTTCTTCGAGTATTAATCGTCGCGTGAATAGGGCCTTTAGCTGTTCTTTGATTTTCAAATTTGTAGAATCTCCTTTTTCTTCACATTGCTGTTCATCTTGTTTCAGAGGTGATGCTACTTCAATATTGACCATTTTGTTGCAGGTACATGATGATGTAGAAGCCACTTGGGATTTTAACTGTTCTATTTCCAATTTCAGTTTTTCATTTTCCTTGAAAAATATGAATTTTCACACAGATGCAAATATATAAGTTTATTATTATTACTATTTACCTGTTGCAGTGCTTCGTTTTGTTTGATATAAAACTGTATGTTTGTACTGCATGAAACGACATTTTTCTTTAATTTAGCCTTTATCTTCTTGGCGCGAGTGGCATATTTTAAAGTATTATAGGTGTCTTCGATATTCAATGATACTGGCGAGACGTTTGCTATCATAACAGTCTTACAGTTGCCTCCTAAACTGTCTTTTAACAGTCTAGTTAATTTTGAGTCTCTAAAAGTGTGATTTAAGTGTTTAACTTAGTAACAAATTACTTAAGAAATTAATAATAATTTTATTACCTGTATGGAATATGTCTTTGTCCATCTGCTAAGCTGTTAATGCAGTTGCCCAGAGCTAATAAGGACTTATTTATATTGGCTCCTTCAGTAAAACGTGCTCCACTATAGCCAGTGGCCGCACCCCTTTCACTTCCAGCCAAGTCAATCATACTCAGCTTTGCTGCAAGTATCTGCTGAGTCGTTTTTACACTCATTTTTATATATACCTAAACAGATTTATTAAAATTACTTTAGTGTAATAATAACAGAAGATCCCTTATCAAAATACCTGAAAGACAGCATGAGATCTAGAACTTTCTGCATTTGCATCTGTTGGGTGCTGTGTTCTGTTTTGATTCCCAGTTTGAAGCAATTCAAAAAGTTCTTCACAACTCTCTATTCTTTTAACTTGTACACCAGCAACTATAACACCAAATTTGCCATCTTCACGCAAGTTTAATGGACTGCCTGGATTCAATAGGTCCTGTACAGTTTCATTATAAACTTCCAAATATGTTATGCCCAATTCAAAGTCTCTTTCATTGGACAATTCCTCCTTGCGCTTAAATAGCTCTGACATTGTTAAAACTGTGATGCCTGGATTGTCTGGTTTCCCTATCATGGTGAATGTTTTACCGGCACCTTTAAACATTTATTTAAACAAGTTAATATCAAATAGGCTATTAAAAAGGATATAAACGACCTGTAGCGCCATATGCAAAAACTGAACAGTTGTAGCCATCCATCAGTTTATCTATTAAAGACTTTGTACTTTTTTCAAAGACCTCTGCATTGGTTGCTTCAAATCCAAATACTCGGTCAAAATGAAATTGCAAATTCTTATTGGCCTTTTTTAATAAATCTCGACCTTTCTGTTGAACACCGTGATAAAAGAATGGGTCATTTTCTTCCTTAGGGTCGAATATCAACATCTCATCACTAACCACTTTTATTATTTTTCTAAAAATGAAATCTCTCAACCTATCTTTAAATTTTAAAAAAGTATACACAGAAACAAACCTGAAATTGTCCCCTTGTTCATTAGCATTTGGTGGTCTAACACGAACCACAACACAAATGTCAGCTCCACTATTCACATTGATTTTATTTCGTACCCCTGAGCGTAGAAGGGTGAAAGATCTTCTTCTGGGTGATTTCAGTAAGTCTCGCTTGCTTTTAACCATTTTTATATTTATAGCATCGATTAAAGGTATCTTCAACATTACATTACATAAAAGCACATTGGTTGTATTAAGTATACAACATTAAAACTGATTAAAACGAAGTATATACCACACTGACAACATGGATATAATTTGAAAACTTATTTAATATCGAAAACAAATGCACATAGTACACACACTTCAAAATATCAACCGAAATTTAACACAATACGTGGACGTGATACAGACATTTTGACCGTTGAACGTGGTAAGTCCGTTAAAAAAGTTTTAAATTGAATTTTGCGTTGTCGGTAAAATAGTTTTCAGTTGTTTTCATCGCGTTGTCCAATCATGTTTGTTCTATGGCGGCTAATTTGAAATTAGTGTCAATACAAAGTATTTCTTTTTAAATTAAGTGTTTTAGGAAGAGATTAGCCAAAATGTTTAATATTTTTGTAATTAACTTTTTATCAAATAAATTTTTAATTCTTGCCATAAATAATACAATAGCTATTTTATGCACAGTTTGGTTTAAAAAAGGAAAATACAGTAACAACAATTATGTTTTTAAAGATAACTTTTATTAATTCAATATTATACAATACAAATTATTTTTTGTAACCGCAAGAACGCCTACGACCTCGTGCACGTTCAAACTTCCTACCCTTGGAGCGAACAAATGGTTTAGTGTGAGAGTGTGGCACACCAGGTGCAAGTCCAAAGTGCTTCACTGCCTCTCTAGAATTTCTTCTACCTTGCAATAGAACAGTTTTCTTTCCAGTTGGTGATTTTAAAGCCAATTGGTCAAATGTAATCACTTCACCCCCTGAAATATGTACAAATTCCTTTAAAAACATGCTATTTCTGCTAAAATATCCAAATTTATTTTTACTTAAACTTAGACAATACTTCCTAAATTACTTTTTTAAAATATTTATAACAAACCTGCTTTCAATATTCTGGCCCTTGCCTTCTCAGTCACTCTCAATGCACACACTGTCAGTTTAGGAATCTCCCAAATACGTTGGTCATCAGTAACAGTTCCGACAATTACTGCAGTCAAGCCTTCACGTCCAGGTTTTTTCATTTGTCTTACAATTCTAGCCAAAGAAATTGGTGGTTTATTGATTTTACTCATAAACAGCCTTTTTAATATTATTCTATTAAATTTGGCATTTGAACGACGTGCTAGGTAGCGATATAACTGTAATGAAATTATAATTCGGTAACTTTATATTATTAAAATATTGAAAAGACATGCAAACCTTGACAAGGAGCCTCAAGTAGACATCCTGGCTTTTAGGTTCTGTGCGCCGAACCTTCCGATCATGTTTATGATTAATATCGATACCCTAAAAGAAAAATAACATTTACATTATGTAACAAAATGTAAAAACGGGTGGCTTTCATTGTTTGAAATAAAATAAATAAGAGATGATTATGAAAAATATAAATGTAGAAAAATTAGTAACATACCATCTTGACTTTTCTTGGTTAGTTTCTCAACCATAGAGAAAGCGTAAAAGAATAACAATTATTCATAGATAAAATTATTACGGACAACTCATAGAGAACTGAGTAACTAATTTCATAGATATTCAAATCTAGACAGTGCACTCCATTGGTTTTCTCATAGAGCCAGTTTAGCTTCCTTCCGAGTTAATATAATTTAATTGATGTTTCTTAATCTGTAAAGTGTATAATGTGTTAGTGTATGAAACAGTATTGATAAGCAAAATATATTTAGTCAAATTATTTTATGGACCTTCATCCAAAACTATCATGGTATGTACAATGCATAGTGCCGTTTATATCTACACCTACATTCACAATATAAAAAAAATCATTTTATAAATAATTTCACATGTAATGCTCTTATGATAATAACTTTTTTTCATTTAAAATTTATTTAAAAAAACGGTATAAAGAGTTAATATTATTGACGATAAGATATTCAAGCCATGTGCGTTATCTGGTATGTTAGGTCTATAGTCAAACTGTATGGCGCCAAATTGAACTTACTTAAATTTAAAAGTGAAATTTTGTTTAATGTTAAGAATTGAAAAACTAAACTCTACAAATAGAAGACGCTTTTTATCTAGCTCATTAAAAAGTAGGAAATGAAGAATATCTTCTATGAATCATCTGTTTGGACGAGTAATTCTTTACTTTCTGCATGTTAGGGTGCCTCAATGAAAAGCAATTTTTATTAAAAAATTTATTTAATTTTATTTATAGTAAAAAATAATTCATTACATAAAACGTTTACCTTATTTATAAATGTCTAATCTAATTTAAAATCTTCCAACGCTTTATTTTTGCATGTCCATGCCTTAAAACCATTTTTCTGCAAATATTTCCACTTTATTTGGTAATCTTTTGCACTTAACTTTATTGCAAGATACGTTTGATTTTTCAAAAATGTTTTGCTTAATTCAAGTTTTTTGTTTTCTAAAATATTAGTAAAACAACGAAATAGTTCCATTTTACAAATTTGCAGTCTTGCAGCTTTAGTATTTGATTTATTTTTTGTAACGCCTTGGCGTTTACCTTCAACAGCAACTTCAAAGGGCCTGAAATTATTCAATAGTTTGTTGAACTGAAGGCAATAACTTTTAAAGAAAATTTAGTTATTTTTTAAACTCACTTATATTTAGTTTTGCTCCAGATAATACTGCACGGGCAAGGGTATTTATCGTCTGCCTTACAGAATTCAAAATTTTCCTCTAATTGAACAATTTCTGCTTGTTTGATACCACCAAATAACCCTTGTAAGCAATCTCTGTTAAACCGATTGTAGAGAGCTCTTTGTAAAGCAGTTAGATCATAAGACTTGCTTGCCACAATAAGCGTCTTCATAAATATAGGATTACTTAATAGTAAACTTATTAATGAACCTTGGAATCCTAAATGACACCATTTTGCGAATTTGTCACTACATGAAACAGATAACGTTGGCGATCCTCTACCTAAGAAAAAAAAACTTAAGACATTAAACATTTAGTTACCTTACAAAAAAATAATAAATATGCACCTGGTTTTGTTCTAACTTTACCCACGATATCACAGAAGGCATAACGCGACTTTAAATCCTGAACTTCCATTTGGGGTAAGCATTTTGCCCCTGTTACATTAACATCAATTTTAATCTTTTTATTAGGCACTTTATAATCTGTATACTCCATTTCTTCCTTATTTAAACAATTTCCAAAATCTTCATCTAAACTTTTTGGAAAAATTGATGCATCTCCACAGGGCACTTGGGTAGTAAAAAAATGAAATTCTATATTAGCCTTTAGAGAACATAAACTAGATTGTTCATCAAAATCAAACGTATCACTGAAATCTACTATGCAGTTATTTATTTCTTCTAAAAGATATCGCAAAAAAGCTCTGCGACAAATGACTTCACTATGAGAGTCATTAAGTATATCTCCTTTTGAAGACATTTTACTTATTCCTATACATTTTGACCCAGTACCTAAAGCAACCACCTCTATACTATTGTCAAGCAAATTATGTTTAGTTATAGTTGATAACACTGTCCACTCTAATGTTTTAGGTTTTCCAGTTTTAGGCAAGGCATTAAAATGCTTATAGCTATTTTGGGCGATTTTTTCATACAAAAGTTCCCCCATTGCGAATTATTGTTATTAATAAATAATTTCAGGATCCCATGCATATTTTCTTTTTTTATTTAAATCTAAAATAGCAGACATGTCTGCAGCAGGTATTTCAAAGTCGAGGTTGATATTTTCTTTGATACGTTCTGCATTAGATGCCTTCGGAATTATAGCAATATTTTGCTGAAGTGCCCACCGTAAAAGGATCTAGATAAAAATGCAAAAATTCAAAATTATTCATATTACTTCGATGTAGCTTACCTGGGCAGGACTTTTATTTAATTTCAAAGAAACTGACTTTATAATAGGTTCTGCCAGCAATTGTGTGTTATTTGAACCACCTAAAGATGAATATGCTTGTAAAACTATTCCTTCTCTATCACATAACTTCTTCAACTCTTTTGTCTGATAATGAGGATGCCATTCAACCTAACATTATCATCATAAGATTTGTATTCTTAATGATAAATTAATTAAATACTGACTTGATTAACAGCTGGTTTAATACCATATGAGTTTTCAAAAAGTTCTTTTAGATGTTTAACAGTATAATTTGAAACTCCTATATCTTTAACTAGTCCCTGATGAACGCCTTTAACCAGTGAAGCCCAACTTTGATTTCTTAGTTTAAAATTATCACTACTTTCAGCCTGAATGCCCGAAACACCGGGCCAATGTATTAAATATAAATCCAAATAATCACACTGTAAGTTCTCTATTGATGTTTTCAAAGCTGCCAAAGCATTAGGTCCTTGATCGCTTGGAGACAGTTTTGAAGTAATGAAAATATCTTCCCTTTTCAGTTTGTACTTGGGCAGTAATGTTTTTAATGCACTACCTATATGCTGTTCATTGCCATAAACAGCTGCTGTATCTGCAAGGTATTGTTTATCAAAAGAAGTTTAAATTAATATATTTGAAAACTATCACCAATTAATCGATAGCCAGATGTTAAAGCTAATTCTAAAACTTCCGTTATTTTTTGCTTTCCACGAATTTGAAATGTTCCAACTAAAAATATAATTATGTATTTTGTATGTTCAATAAACAAAATTTATGAAATATATACATCCGATAGCAGGTATTTCGTTGCCAGATAACAATTTAAACTTTTGTAATTTACAACTCATTGCAGGAATTTTTAGGTAAAAGTGGGGTTATGTTATCAAGATGTTTTTGGTTAAGGTTTTTAAACGTCAAAAAAAGAGAGTTCAATGTGTAATACCTCTATGGTTCAATGACCATAAAGATTTGTTATAAGTAATGCTTACGGTACCTTAAACGTACATAATTAGGAAAATAATTTTTGATTGGAATTAGTTACTCATATTTGTGTATAAGTGTAATTAATTGACAAAATTATAAATAGAAACAATTAGTCTACTTATCTTGATGAAAGAAAAACACAAAAATATTTTTACATTTTTATTTAAAAATTCAATTACCTAAAAGAAGTTACATACTCAAATAATTACTCATAAAGCAAATACAAATAATTGTAATAGTATTTCAATGATAATTAGCATACGTAGATTGTAAAATAAATTTCCCCAATAACTTACTAATTATTAAAGTCCCTTATAGAATCATTAAACTCCAGTTTACAATTTGTTCTTTGTATAAAAATATAAAACAGTAATTTGTCTCATTCATTTTAAGGCATCTTGTGTAGGATGGTGAACTCTAACATGATGCTCCATTTGATTTTTTCTACCGAATGTTTTTGAGCAATGCTTGCATGGAAAAGGCTTATGTATTTGATGGGTCAGCATATGACGTGTGAGAACATCAGATCTTCCAAACTGTTTCAAACAGACATCACACTGAAATTCTTTTTCTTGTGTATGAATGATCATATGCTTTGTTAAATTGTGTGATTGCTGAAAACGTTTCTTGCAAAGAGGACATGGGAAGGGTTTCTCTCCTGTGTGAACTCTGAGATGTCTTTTGAGATCACAATATTTTAAAAAAGTTTTGAAGCAAACATTGCATTGATAATTTCTTGGTTTTGGTACTTCCACTTTTACAAGGACATGCACAAATTTGTGTTCTTCATATTCATCTGATGTTTCAAAACCATATTTGCATATTCTACAAATAAAGGGTAATTTTCCATCATGAACACGTAGGTGTGCTGTTAACAACTCTAAAGATTCAAATGAGCTTAAACATTTCACACATGGATATGGAGTGTTGCCAGAATGAATGGTCTGATGTACAACAAGCTGCTTTCGATTTTGAAAGGCCTCAGTACAAATTTTACATTTTAATACTTTGTTTTTCTCATTTTCTTCTTGTGTTTGGTTGTAATCCTTGTCACTGCCTTCGTCTTGTTGGATTCTGCCTTTTCTACCACGTTTCTTGGTCTTCTGGGAGTTTTTATCCAATAGTTTACTTGATTTAGTAAGGCCTTTAGATGAAATACTGTTCCTTTTCGTTTGCTGTTTCTTTTTAGTAACTAAAGATTTCTTCTTTTCATATACAGATTTTTTAGGTCTCCCTCTTTTCCGTTTCACCTCACCTTTATTATTATTAATCGAATTACTTGCTTTTAAGGACTTCCTCGAACGCATAGTAACTTTCTTTGATCTCAACATAGTTAATAGTAGTACAAATTTTTTTTTACTTAATCATCTATGAACAAAACAATTTCCAAAATCTTCATCTAAACTTTTTGGAAAAATTGATGCATCTCCACAGGGCACTTGGGTAGTAAAAAAATGAAATTCTATATTAGCCTTTAGAGAACATAAACTAGATTGTTCATCNTTACGATTTTTTAATAATAATATAAAAGTTATGGTACATTTTGCGAAAAAATAATACTTTAACAAAATAAAGGCTTATAAAAACCAATTACAAAATTGTAAATAAGCTGATAAAAAATAAACAAAAAGGAAGTGCTTGTTGTGACAAACAATAAAACAGTGACAAGTATCAGGTACTGTCGACAGTCCCGTTAACTTTCTTTTCATTTCTACTGAACCAGTAAATTGAAAGTGATCCCGATTAATATTTCCTCTTATGAATTAGAAACGTAATTTTTCATTATAGTGAAACACTTTTTGGAATATTTTTCATTAATTAATTCATATAATTAGTTTTATGAAGAATTATACTTAAAAGTAAAAATAAAACAATAAAGTACTCCGTCATATAGATGGACAAAGATTGTCTATGGACACAGATTTGAACAGATTAGAAAAATATAATTAACTATATATTTGTGTAATCTATGAATGTAATAATAGGTGTGAGCGAATATTATATTTCAGTCAAATTTATGTAAAAGTTCAAAAGAAAATTATTAAAATCTTATGAAGAATGGGTTCAGCATCAACCAAAACTAGAAAATTAACTATTGAAAATGAGGATTCCAGAAATGTTATAAAAGTTTCAGATGAAGTAGTACAACGATTAAAAGGAAGAGAAGGTTAGATTAAATTTTATTTTATTTTTGTAATTTCATTAATGAAAAAGTTGGTAATTTTTATTACAAGAAAAAAATTGTAAAGCTTTTATATTGTTTGTTAACTTTGTTGCATTAAAGTAATTGTATTTAATATACTTCTTTCAGATGATCTTGTAGGTACTATTACATAATCTAATTTATTTACTTGTGCATATATTCTTTTACTTCAGAGGTAAGAAATTTAACTCCTAGATCAAGTGTTCAAGTTATTCCTGAAGGTGTTCCTGTGTATTATTATCCAGAACCAGTTTTAACGTCTTTACAATGTCGACAGCAGAAGCAAAATGCCTTAGAAGAAAATGATAAATACTGGGAAAGAAGAATACGAGATTTGCAAAAAGGACATGATAAGATGCATGAAGTTATGCAGTGTGAATATAAGAAAGCAGTAAGTAATATTTCCATTTTAATTAAATGAAATTAATAATAAATTTAAAAATAATTTTGGTGTTAAACATTTAAGATAGAAGAAATACAAGAAACCAAGAAGACAAACAAAGAAGTTCCATGTAAAGAAAATAAGCTGAAGGTATTGGATTGTTACCAGAAATATCCAAATGAACCAATGAGATGTGCCCAAATAGTGCAAGATTTTGCTGACTGTGTTGATTCACACAGGGCTTCTCGAACAAGCAGCAAAGGTTAATGGAAATGCAGGGTTATCATCGTTACAGTAGAAGAATATTACAGGCAGGTTGAAACAAGTTTGTATATAACAGTTTTTTAAATAAATTAATATTTAAATTCGTTTTTGCTGTAACAGCATCTGTTGATCAAATTAAAATACAAAAATTCAAAACTATTTATTTACATTTTTATAGGATTATGTATATTTGCTTTTTATTATTTATTATGAGATAATTCCATTTAAATTAAATCTGTTTAAAAATATTCAACTTCAAACAGTTGATTATTTTTTCATACCGTTTAAACCTTTAATTTATTAAGAATTTATTTCAATCAAAAAAAAAAAACAAAAATAAT